ACTTTATACAAAGTTTTGAAAAATTCAATATATTTCGATCAAGAAATCAATTTTTCAATCTGAATTTTTAGACAACTCTTGGGTATACAGTTTTAATAAATTAAAGTTGCTGAAGGTTTCTCCCATTTTCTTCCATAAAACATTGGTGTTTATATAGAAAAACTTAAAAAAAAAAACGGTGAAAAAACTTATTAAAAATTAACTTAAATTCTCATCAGCTTCAAACATGCACTTTACGATGCTAAAGTTTCTACAAAACTGCATTCTCATTTTTTTAATTCATTTTAAAGATAAAAATTTAATGTTTTTTTTTTTGTGAACGTGAAGTTTGAAACTCTCATTCATATGGTTGTTGCTTTGGCATTAACAATGACTTAATAAGAAATTAACAAAAAACAAAAAAAAAACAATCACAGTTCGCTCAATATTGATCGCCAATGTATGTATGATTTTGATACCGTATATTATTTATTTGGATAATTTGCCTTTTCATTCTCATCACATTTATGTATGCTGATTGCGGTTTTGGCGTGGTTGAATTATCCTTTCAATGCTTTACTGATGTTTATTAATCTCCAGCTATTGTTGTTGTTTTATTTACTGTTTTCGGATTTCGCTCCCCATACATTCCCTCAAAATCTGTTATTTAAATGTATTTACGCACTTTAGAATATTCTTAAATATCTTTATATAAAACTACTTTTCTTACACTTAACTTGTTGTTTCTGTTGCTTGCTAATGATTGGTTTAGAATGATTTGCTGAAATACTATTAACTATATGCCTCTTAGTTTTGTTTTTTTTTTGCCAATAAGCTATTTTGGGCTTGTTTATTCATGTTCTATTCCACATTTCCCTGCTTCATTGTTTTCAAACGTGCCGTTGATTTTGTTTTCTTCGTGGTAATTATATTTCCACCATGAGTTTCTTTTTCTGATTGGTTTAAATCGTCGACTGGAGTTACATTAGTGAAACTAATATTATTACTGGATACTTCATGAACCAATTAAACAACCAACCAATTATACTATAGTAATTGGTTCATGTCCATATTGTAAACCAATTTAAAGCGGGAAGAAAATTTTAAACACGCCCTCTTTTTAACCGACCTCAGAAAAAGGAGCATTCCTTTGGACTTCCCAGAAGATAATTTAGGTAGGCCTTCTTAATTGAAGTCATTCTAAGAGGCCTACCCAAGAAGAACTGAAAAAGTGCTTGCTTGCATGCCTTCTACAAGAGCTTATTCATTTACAATTTGCGCGAATGCATAAATTTATATTATTTAGCATTACAAATGAATTTCAATAATCTTCAAAGATTTATGATTTTTATAAATTAAATAAGCAACTTTAAAAAAATACCTTCTGAAGTACGTCCTATAAAAGCCCTTCTGAAAGCCCTGCAAATTGTGCTTCTCCATACAAAAAAGAAAGGAATGTAGAGTGGAAGGCCTCTTGACTCTCAGGACGGCCTTTCGGAAGGGCTTTTATCTCTTGATATTATCTATCAAGATTAGTGCTTCCAAATTTTGTTGCATGACATTAGGCCAACGGCGGGCACACTCACGCTACCACATGATGCGAAGTGTGTGTTGCAGCGCAGTCATATTGCTTTGCTTTGCCGAACGTGCGCAACACGAAGTAGCTTATAAAGCTCAGTTCACACAAATTCGATACGCCTAATTGAAGTTGTTAAACTCGCCACTTCGACCAACCAACCAAAATGCGTCGTAAAGAGGACATTTTCGTATATTGATGACTTTCAACCGATTTAAAGTAACTTGGAGAGGTTATTTACTTTCATTAAAACTTACCAAAAATTTGCTATAAGTTAAAAGTAAATGATACAATGCCATAATGCTTTAATATTTTTTTACTAATTAGCTTACCTCTTTATTGTAAGCAGAAGGACAGTGATAAATATATGTGAGGAAAATAAGAAGTTGTTGGCATCTTTAATTTTAATCTGATGTTCAATTTAAAAAATGTTGGATTTTCAACGAATTTGTTCCACATTATTTATTATAATCCAATACTATGAAATTTAGATCTCATAATGGTATATCTGTACTGTATCTAACGGTCTGCACTGAAACTTTTTAATACATATTAACAAGTGCTGCACAGGAATTGCTGGAACGCGTTCCGATTTCGTATACCTAATTTTTCTGTTTTCGCTTTGGTGGGCAACGATTAAATGTTATATTGTTATTTTGGATTTCGCTCTCTTTCTCTCCCAACAACGCGATTAAATGTTATATTGTTATTTTGAATTTCGCTCTCTCTATCTCAATTGTTTACTACATTTGTGACACTTGGTATGTACTTATACATACATATGTATTCATTTGTTTGATCCACTGGTATATTAGCTTAGTTCGAAGAAGATTTTTGTAGTTGGGAGGTACCAACTCCTATTTTTGATTTCCTTTCATAGTTATTCTTTATTTATGTACCTACATATGTAAGCCAATTTTAAAAATGTATAGAAAGAAATATTTAAAAATTAAAAAAAAAAACTACCAAAGAATGCTTATTGATAATGCATTTTTGGAAAATACATATCGTTATCACCAATGAAAAGTGGCCTATTTGAAGTTTTTTGGAAATACATACGTTTGATTTCTTAAATTTCTTTAGGGTGCTCTGAGATGCACCTCCTTTCCAAAATACAAAACCAATGCTTTAAAAAAGGTTTGTTGGCATCTTAAGAGCAGTTCTGTACAAATTTACTATATAATTTTAAACTTGTTTGATTTTCCTGTAAAATTTCAAATCTGTCAAATAGGTTCTTTTGCAGTTATGATGACGATATGTATGTACGGTATTGGCCATATTTGTTTGTTTGCCACTTATATTTAATTACTAGTTTTTAAGAATTTTCAATTAAAATACAGTTCATACTCGTAACAAAACCCATATAAACCCAAGATTTAAACTTTGTAAAAGACTACAAAAAATGCAACAAATTGTCACCTACATTTCAAACTTTTTTCTCAGAAGTGTTAGATTTTTTTTGAGTACGCAGTTTTATAGCCCATTCAATTTTAGTCTAACGTGTTTGTCGCGTTTGCTTCCATATAACGAATAAACACAATTTATTTTTATATGGAAGAAACACGCAACTCCTTCGGCGAAAAAAATTCTAAAAGAATCAACGGTGATTTATAGCCACTTGAAACTTGTACATTGTTAGACTGAAATTTAATAGGCTACAGAACTGTGTACTCAAAAAAAATCAAACACTGCTGAGAAAAAAGTTTGAAATTTTGTTGAGTTTTATGTAGTTTTGGACAACGTTTTGAACTTGGCTTTATATGGGTTTTGTAGAGAATGAACTGTATTTTAAATGAAAACTCCTGAAAATAAATAAATAAACATGAGTGGGGTACAATATCACTTTGAAATGGGGGGTGCTATTGTATTGGCCAATACTGTATATACTTTTTGCGAATATCCTCATGCTCAGCTTTTCATATTATAAATGCATTAACGAATTATGCATTTCATTTATACCTACATACTGCATACAAATGTATGTATGTTGTACATTGATATATGTACATATTTACAACATACATATGTACATACATATATCCGTTGTATGAGTTAAACTTGATGACCCCTTTTGTCACATATGTTTTATCAAATTTAATTCAATATGACGTAGTCTTCATAAAATTATTAAAAATATATATTTATTTTCCTTAATTTGTTTGGCTTCAACTATATTTTTGTTTTGGTATACAAATTTTATTTTATGTTTACTTCTTCCTGCCTATTATTTACAAGTGTTTATCTAATCTAATATCTATGCTATGTTACTGCTACATGTTTAAACTCTATCCAACTTTTTAATCTTACATACATATGTATGATTTTATTGTATTCGACGTTGAATTTGTTGTAATATGTATTAAGGGTTTAGCTTTCTACTTTTCGATGCTCAAAAAGTTTCTCATCTATCTGATAATGTCTAAATGCATTCTTGAAGACTAATTAGTACAATCAAAAATTTAGAAATAAATATTCCTATATTCTGGCGGCCACTGTAGCCGATTGGTTAGAGGTGCGTACTAACACTTCGTAGGATCTGGCTTCGATCTCTGCTACGAGCAACAACTAAATTAGAAAAAAGGTATTTCTAATAGCGGTCGCCCCTTTTCAGGCAATTACCCACATTGCGAGTGTCGACTAGTGATAGGTAAACGACTCTTGTTTATGTCGATTTCTAGTTCCATAAGCGACTGTGAATAGTTTTTAATCGCTGGAATGATTAGCGACTATAAACTATTCACACTCACTTATTGAACGAGAAAACGATTTTGAAAATACCACGGATAATCGATAATCGACTGACAGTTGTTTATCTACTACTAGTCAACACTCGCAATAGGGGTGAATAGCAAAACCTCTGAGTGCATTTCTGCCTTGAAAAGGCTTCTCATAAAAACCTTTTGCAGCGCGGAGGCGGCCCCTCCATTTCTGTTATAACATGAGGACGCATACGTTTAAGCGCCAAAATATGACTGTTAATAAATTCTACGTCCATGTGTACTCAGAAATCAGGATTTGTTTGCATCTTTTTTAATACATACAGCATTTATAAATATAAAAAAATTACCAGTATCTCAAATTTGCTACGCTGCACGATTTCTAGAAAATTACCATAGCCAGGAATCTTGTTCATACACTGATATGTCTTCCACCCATTTTGATAAATTATAGCAGTACAAAACATCTAACAGCTTAAAATTTTGATACACTGCAGCAAATTTTGATTACAAGAACAAAACAAAAAATATCTCAATCATTTAGAAAAACAACCGCTCGAACACACTTTGCAGTAAGTACTTCGTTTTATGTTTTAAAATTTGTATTTTCAGCATAAATAGTCTTGATATTCCTTTAAACTTTAACGCTTTGAATAAACCATAAAGCAAGTAATTAATCCAATCGGGGATAAAAAGTAAATAAAAAGTAAAATAAATAAAACGCATGGTTAAATTAATTATGTATGTCAAATGGTGTTGATAAATTTATTTCTTGAATTGTAATTGTTGTCTCTGATTTCTAAATATTTAGTGACATGTCGACTGCATACGCACTTTTACCTGTTAATATATATAAGTAGTTAACTCTTTATGCATGTTAGTTTTGCTTAAAACAAGATTAATAAGGTTAATTACATATCTTTGCTGGTATTGTAATGTAGGTGAGTAAGAAAACAAGAAATTTTAGTCTAAACAGGAACAAAAACGAACAAAACGTTCTATAACAGAGACACTAAGAAATGACATTATGTAATGTCCACAAGAAAAAAAAAAGATTTAATTTCAAATCCACTGTAAATGAACTAAGAGGAATTATACGAAAATCGATAGACTTCGGGCTAAGTTAAGTGCGTGATTTGTAGTAGTGAGGGTATGTGTGTAAGCAGAAAAAAAAGAAAATTAAATATTTCAATGTTTTACCGATAATTTGCCAATCAACGTTTCCGATTTTATTATTTTTTTTACCTCAGTATTTATTTGTTTTATAAATAGATTAAAATAACATTGTTTAATAATAAAAACAGCAATAGCATAATAACATTCATTACTCTTGCGTTTTACAAATATGCACACTATTTACAAGATTTATGTTAATAACAGAAACACATTGTTTTCCTTTGTAAAGTGAACCGATTTAGAGAGGTCAACAATCGTGCAACAAAAAAAAAAAAAAATAATAATAATAGCTTAGCCAAGCATACAAAATATCCTTCTCTTCAAATTAAAATAAAAATGCATTTGCGTCTTCTAATTAACTTCTTTTTACAATTTTGCAGAATTTTCATAATTCGTTTTAAGGTGTTACATTTAGTTACATGTATGTATATAAAAACAAACTGATATTCTCTTATTTTCGACATTTAACTAAACGATTCAGTAATAAAAAATAATAGTAATATTAATAACTGTAGAGGTAAAAATATAACACTTTTTCTTTAAAAATTCCTCCGATGAAAAACAAGCGGAAACTGCTTGACACTTACTCGTATATTTGCCTTCATATAGTAACTTTCATGCTTTAGTAGAATTTACAAAAATAGTAGATATTTACCGCCTACCAATGAGCTGTAGCTATATATATTTGTATGATACTATTCATTTTAAACTAAAAAGGTTTAAGATATTCAACTGTACGCGCAGTCTGCTGCAGTTTAATTGTCAGCGCCGGCTTTGTTGGGCAGTCAGTGTAATGGCTCGGGCAACACATTACAATCTAAAATAGGTCCAAAAATGCATACGCTACCAAAATTTTTACACTACTGTGGCTGCAATGTAGCTGTGCTTACGTTGCATTTATTGATTGAGGAGGTGTTACTAGTGCTAATCGCCTCAGCAGTACTAGTAGCAGAGGTAAGGGTAATGCCCGTAACCGTACCACTACTGCCACCGCCGCTGGTTGTAGTTATAGCCGTTGTGGTTATGGTGGTATTTGCGCTCTTTAGCTTCTTCAGACCCGACTGTACATATCGAAACAGGTCATACATGGAACTGTGCAGGGTCAACGGTCCATTTTCGTGATCCAATGCAATAAAGAAATCTGTGATAAAATAGTTAATCGAGTTAAAATGATTTTTTTTTTTTTGTTAAATACAATATTTAATTCACCAGTATGGTTACCCTGCCGCACCAGGCGATCGGCTTGATCCCACAAGTCGTGACAATTGGCTAAGTAATTGAAGTATAAATTTTGGTGGCTTAGTGTGGTATGCATATCTGGACGCATACTACGTCCAGGAGGCGTATTCGATCCAGAACCCTGCAATATAGTTAAGAAAAAAATTGTAAATTCGTATTTATAAGTTCTCGATACATACACATACATATGTATGTAAACCTTCTACCTGTGAGCAAACTGAGTTTGACGGCGAGTTTGACGATGGCGTATTTCCATTGAGTATTTCCGTGCGACCACTTTTAAATATCTCCATGCAATGATTGATTATGCTACGACAATAGTGCCGCTTCATTTTATATAGTTTTAGTGAGATTAAGGATTGACAACGTAGACTAAAAATATATATGCAGTTTTAGGAAACCAAGTACTTAGTATTAGAAATAGCTTCGCTCACCTTAAGATTGCAACTTTGTTGTGAGGTTCGTGCAGTTCATTGGCGGATGATGATACCTGCAAATGCTTAATCTTTGAAGAAATAAATCTGAAAAATAAAAAAATTATGAGAAAAAAAGTTATCAATCCTATACAACTTTATTCACTTTATAAAATTACAATGTTTGATAGATTGCATTAGCTCCTTAGAAAGCAAACACACTTTACTCACTTAATTAAGTTCAATGTGTCCTTATACATAACCCAACTCGATTCTTCGGAGTTTCGATGCTGCTCTAACCCGGCACTGGAAAGCAAGAAGTATATGACCGCTTCCAAATACAGCGTTACTTGATTGAATAGATTTTGTTCCTTATCGGCAGCATGTTTGCGTTTAACGGCTTCCTGCAGGAACTTCGAGTTTTCACTAATGTATGAGTGACAACAGTGGCAATAAGTGTTAAGGCGATTCAACTTTTTAACTAAGAAAATATACCTTATATCATCACATAGTCCGTCATCGTCACGTTCAAAGTATGATCTATATATGACTTGTGGCGGTGGAGCTAATGGCACGGCGCCGCTGCCCGAAGGCAGCACATTGCCTGAATTTGACTCTGCGATCGGCGCCGTATTTAAGTTATTGCCAGCTGTTTGTAGATGCGCAGGACTATTTGAAGAATTAGAAGCAGTGGCATTAGCAAGCGGTTGCTGCTGATGAATTTGACGCGGTACCAGTAACCGATCATGGTTTGTGTGAGACAATTGACGACTGTCCAAGTGCTGATGCTCCTTCTAAAGAAAAAATAATAATATATATATATATTGTTACGTTATTTCATATTTAAACAAATATTTACCTCCATTTGTCCATTGTTGCTCATGCCCAGCGGCGGGATTATAGCGATTGCACGCCGACTCGTATCGTTGGCATTAGAAAGACTGCTAATAGCGCCACTTCCAATATCACGTTCAATAGTAGCCACAGCGGGTAAAAGCTTGCCAACGTCCTTGTCTATTTCTTTTTCTTTGCACGTCGCTGCCATTGTGGTTGGTGTTGTCAACACGCCACTTTCCTTACCCTCTTTCATCTCCTTGCCCTCTTTGGAATACTTATCAGTTTTCTCCTTTTTCCGTTTTTTCTCTTTATACGGGCTGGAGCTGGCACTCCGCTTACGCCGTTGCGATTTGTTGTCTATAATGTCACTTACACGCAGATGTGATATAGGCGAAGCATTATTCCCATCTTGCTTCTCAATGCCCACATAGTCATTTGAATGAGGCAGACCGAGCTTAGAGTCCTGTTTAAGAAGAAGCACCTCTTGTTTTACTGAGTTGGTTGTTTTAAATTTAGTTTCGCTGCCGTAGGCGTCACCCTTGTTAGCTGCTGCCACGGGTGTGCTATCAAGCTCAGCGCCTGGTTCGTTTTTAATCAATTGCTCATGCTTGAGCAACTGCTTCGTCGATGGCGAATTATTGCCTTCAGCTTCCACCGTTGGAGCAGTCTTTGATGAATAACCGTTTGGCGTAAGTTGTGGCTGCTCTTTAGGGGTTGTTTCTCCACTACCGCCGCCATCAGTTGAGCGACTGCTCAGTCGCCTATTAGAATGCAGTGTGCTCAGTCTTTGTTTTCCCCCACCAACATTAATTCCCATCAAGCTTTCCCTTGATCGCGAGAGTTCCCGATCGGGTGGGGCGTGGGGTATTGTTGGCGTTCGGTTGCCAGTGCTGTGTGGTGTCACACTGCCGCTGCCACCAGCTGCAATACGAATTGTTGTTGCTTGTAAATCAGCATTTAGTATCGCTTCGTGATGTGCGCAACGAGATGTAGCAGACGAGCCAGCGCCTACATTGGAAAGCCGATAAGTGTTTGCACGCCATTCGGGCAAAATTCGACGCAGCCGTGATAAATCCACTTTACAGATTAATGACGGAATATTCGAAGTTAACATTGCTGTAGTTCGTATGGGTGAGGCAGTGGGTGCCGACAGTAAGCCTGCCGGAGTGGGTGTGGGTGTAGGCGTACGCGTAGCAGGTGGAGTACGAGTCGGAGTACATGAAGGCGTCTTGATACGCTGTTGATGAACTTTACGTTCAGCGCTACTGCGACTACTTCGATCAGGTGTACGATGCGCGCTAGCAGCCGTGAGTTGTGAAATAGCTCTTGGTGATTTCATGTGTCCAGGTGTGAGTCGTGGTGATTGTGCGGTAGTGGACGCTGCAACATAATGCTCTTGGCTAGTTGGTACAGCTGATGCAACGGCAGCAGTTGTCCTATAACCCCCCGCGTTGGGGGAAATCAACTTTTGTTGTTGTTGCTCTCCTCCCAGCTCACCACTAGACTGGTCGATGACCAGCACCTGACCTTGTTTTTTTGCCCCACCTTCTTTGGGATTGAAAATGCGCGTTAGCGTTACATTTTTGTTCTTGTCACTCGCCTTCGGTTTGTCACGACGCAGGCGTGTACCGCTCGAGGTGCTGCTGGCGCACGTAGAGGCTTTAACGCCAGTCTTTGAATGTTTGCCCTTAACACGATTACTAGAAGTCGCACTACGTTCTATATCAGAATGTTCGCCGCCGCTACTACTGCCTGAGAAGGAAGATGTCCCACTGTTTGAGCTGGAAGAAGAACTAGAGACAGGGGCTGCTAAATTCGGCACTTTATATGGAGATTGCAAGTTTTGTGAGCGATGTGAACTACCGCCACTGACATTCCCAGTACACACTGCTGGCACCACATTTACATTATTGTTCGATGTTGCTGCAACAAAGTTGCTGACAGAACTATCGTCGGAGCCAGATCCGGAATCCGAAGAGTCCTCACCACTCACGACTTGTTCATCATGGTGCGCGAATTGTGGTGTAGGACGTCTGCGCTTACTACTATTTGATAATTTTAACATTCCACTTGCCTTTCCCACACTTGTTGACACTGACGTAGCAGTTGCAGATGTCATGTCTTCATGCGAGGATTTACGTTTATTTAGTTGTACAATAATGCGACTAGTTCCTACTGGTAAAGTATTCGTCGCTATAGCCGCCGCCGTTGCCGACGAAATCGCTGCTGCCGCTGTTGGTCGCGCTGTTAGATTGCGTTTGGCCGATATAGCGCCTGTACCGGCGTCTTCGTCTTCATCATCGGATGACGAACCACTTATCACACCCTCTTCTTCCTCTGAATCTGAAGAAGAACTGGATGATTTCGACGTTGAACAGGACGTAGAAGACGATGAGGAGGAATCAAGGATCGGTGCCCGTGGTGCTGTTATGTCGGGCTGCTGTGTTTGTGCTGGCATTTTCGTCGCTGTTGCTGTCGTTGCCGAACTAGAATTCTGCCTCGAGCCTCTCCGTCTTGTAGCAGACTTCTTAGTTATCACGGGAACACTATTTAACATATCTTTTTTCGCTGTAAGGGTTGGTCCCTTTGAAACGGCAGTTGATGCAGAAGCGGTCGTTCCACTGCTTGCAATTTTGCGTGGCCGACCAGGTCCCTTTTTCGCTGCTACTGCAGGCACTGGTTCCGCATATAACTTTCCACCCGGCCCAGCAGCTGCTCGCAGTGCTGCCGGACTCACTGTAACACCAGCACTTTTAAAAGGTGCATTTGCTGGTGCTATGCCTTCTTCATCACTCGTATCCAGATGAGTTGAGACTGTAGCTGCTGAAATTCTAGGTTTTTTCCGTCTACGTGTTGACACCGTTGTCGGGAGGGGGTCGATGGGGAGAACAGTTATTGAATTGGGAAGTGTAGGTGCCGGTGCTAATGGTTGCGGGGGTGAAGGCGGCAAAGCAGTAATAGCAGCAGGTACACCTGGAATCTTCAAAGTGCCACCTGGGCCCAGTGTTGGTACAGTTTGCCTAGTAGGTGGTGTACCATTGTCTTCGTCGTCGGTGGTGTTCGACGTCGGACCATCACTGGAAGGCGCAGACAAGCGGCTAACACGTGCAAGTTCCCCACTTTTTGGGCCGGTTGTACCACTATTGCGCATGTGCGGTGACACAGAGGGAGTGCGTCTCCGTCCGCTACCGCTGACATTACCGCAGGTGTTGTAGGGTGTTACAGTTGTCGTACCACCAGCAAGTGACATTGGCGCCATCGTAGTTGTTGTTGTAGCTGTCGACAAGCCCGAAACTTCGTGTTTAATTTGGCTCGTTGGTATTGCAACAAACTCGGCAGCGTTTAGCAAGGGCACCTGTGATTGTTGTTGCTGTTGCTGTTGAGACCCGATATGCAAATGAGTCTGCACACTACCAGAAGAGCCAGTCTTTAATAATGAACTGGGATAAAGCACATCGGATTCTTTTTTGATTTCATTCAACAGCGCCGGAATACCACCACCTATACTTGACTTTAATCCACAAGCATTCGATGAAATTCCACGTGCATCACAGCTTCTTCGTACTCCTCCAATTTCTTCATCGTCATCATCACTCCGCGCTGAGTATTTCTTCTTCAAAAAAAAAATAAATAAAAGAATAAGAATTTAGAAAAAAATTGTGTGATGAATTGAACAACCAGTTCACTTACTGCTGTTCCATAATTGGCTGCCTCATGTTTTACGATCGCCGGGTTAGGTTGCGACTGCGTCGCCTCCGGAATAATTTGAGCACCACCAGGCAAAAGAGTTGGTTCATCCATGCTAACATTAATTGAATTGACGACTAGCGAATTCGCTGGTGGCGTTGTTTCGTTCTGGGCTTGCGCAGGCTTTTTATTGAAATACCGACTCAGGTGCCATTTACTTGATTCCGATGGTGATGGCGTCTTATTGGCAGACAAGGAAGTGGAGCTGGGACCGGAATTGGATGAGTTCCCAGAGCCCAATGCATTGTTACTCAGATAAATGCTTGATCGGCCGCTGCCAAGGGGTTCGATCAACTTCGATTTATCATTTACAGCTTTGCCTACGCCTGCGCGTCCTATAGACTGCGTCGTTTGTTGTAGTATCTGTTGCTGTTGCACATGTTGCTGATTCTGAAGTGGGTGATGTGTGTGCAATTTCTGTTGTTGTGCTATGGATTGTTGCAAACGTAAGGAGTTAGGAGGCTGTTGACGCTCACTTTTCGAGGACTCCTCGCTGCCAGATTCACTGGAATCTGAAGGTGAACTATCGCTGGAATTATGCATTGAGTGGCTATACGAAAGTTCAAGAAGATATATGTAAAAAATGCAATGACATTTATTTCTAAAATATCTATATAAATAAACGTTAACTCCGAAATATACGGGGCGGGGCACCTAACATACATAATAAAAGCTTAAAACCAATATATCTTTAAAACCAAATAGGCCGCAGAAATGAAATTTGGCACGGATGCATAAATTGTATACTACCCTACTTATGGCAAAAAGTGGTAGGTAATCGAAAAGAGGGCAGGCATGTCACCTCCCATACAAAGTTAACTTCTAATATCGTTAATCTCTGGAACCCCACACGCTAACGTACTGAAATTTTACACAGCTACAAATGTTGTCAATAACGTACTTATGCCCGAAAAGGAGGATGAGGCACTTCCAATACTTCCATATGGCTTATCTATGCAACCGCTTATGATAAGATAATGAAATTCTACACATCTACATATATATATATATTGTATATAAATAGCAGAGGTCGTAAATATCCATATCCCTCTCCACTTTGAAAGTGTCGAAAAATAACCGTCACTATTTAAGAGAAAAAATAACCCACAAAACAGAACAGGTGGTTTATTTTTAGTACATGTGTGCTCCTCTCAGTGGGAAAGGTTAATTTGCATATCTGTTGGACACGGACACTTATCGCTAGAAGAGGAGAAATAAGTGTTAGAACGCGGTTACCCACGAACGTGTACGCAGGGTACGTAGAAGTGCGTAGAAACATATCAAATTTGCTGTTGATAGAAAGAGAGAGAGCGATATAACCAACGTCAACGTCACGGTCATGTGGTGGCAGGGTTACGTGATTTTAAATCCTTATTGGTTTAAAGTCCGCTATCAATTATGAAATATATTTGATTTGTGATTTGGTTTGTTGACCAAATAAAAAATAAAATTTATTTGTGATTTGATCTGTCAAGCCAATAGTAGAGGAGCCAACGATGCTAAATCGGGATTTACTCGAGCGTCATTTTTACCTATTGGATTTTGAAGACTATATGATGGGAAGAAAAAAAGGTCATGTGATGTTTTTCCTTCCAGCGGTGGGTGGAGGATCTACAGGCTTCCAAAAATGTAAAAAAAAAAAAACAGTTACATGGATTTACTCGAGCGCATCAGATATTCACAAGGGATGCTTTGATCGCCCATGATTGCGTGATACTATACTAAGATACTATATAAAGAGTGAGCAAGAAGGGAGCGGAGTTTAACATTTTTTCATGTATAAGTAAACTTAAGGTTGCCGAATTCAAAATTATCTGAAAAATGCGTGTTTTTCTTACATACAAATTCTTATGTCTAGTGATTTTAGCTGAGAATTAAGTAAAATTCACATACATAAGTCAAAAAAGTAATTTTTAACTGATATTTGTTTAGCTAAAATTTACACACATGTGCTACTAATTTTTCTTGGTATAATTTTAATCTGATACTCCTTCGATTTACGATATTTTCAATCCTCAGTCATCCTATTTTGAAACTGGGGTTAAATTAATCGTAATCGTAGACGCACGTAGATTGCACGTGTAATTTCATCGCCCACCTCAAATTTATATAAAGGTTTTGATTCACAAATGCACATACTTATGTACATATACAGCGGAGCAACACGCGAGCCGTTAGTGAGAGTTTGTTTGGGTTAATTCTCACATTTCACTCGCAACTGGTAGATATCATTTGCGAGCATTTGGTCCGCCGGGTATACTTATTACAGTCATATGATTGTAATAATATGAACGGAAAACAGCAAATCAAGGCACATTAAACAGGTAGTATCAGTAGAGCAAAAACAACATTTGCGTGTATTTTGTTGTTGCTTCTGGTATCGAAAGTGTCAAAAACTGTTCTGAATTTTTTCTTCTAAATCAAAGCGTGCCATGTGAAATACAAAAAATTATAAAAAATAAAAAATTGAAATTGGAAAAAATAAAAATTGATGCAACTTTCTTTCCTAGTAAATTTGTTTGCTTCTCGAAGCATTTATCCATCCTTTGCAAGGCCCAGTAATCAGCGGTTGTGCTGCCGAGTTGGGCGAACGTTCCAAAAGCAGCTATTCAATCGCTTGTTTTGTATGGAAAAAGGTTTCACATGCAAATGGATTTTAACAATTCAGAATTTTTGTGAGAAAGAATTAAAAATATTTGACATTTTCGATACCAAATAATTTGAAAATAAATCAAATCAGCTGCTCTACTGATACTACCTGTTCAATGTACCTTGCAGCAAATAAATAAAAAAAATAACAAATTTCGTAGAAAAATCTGTAGTAGTTTTGAAAAACAGCAAGTGCACACGACAATCTTTGTTGACGGTTTTCGTCACTGCGGCTTGTGGAAATTGTCAGAGTATATACCTCCCGTTACCCTTCAGCTGTATGCTTCATAATAATAATAAAAAAAATAACCGCGCTCGAGAATGTCCAGGTAACGTTTTTTTTTTTCAAGTTTGCGACCCTCCCAATCCCTTGCGCAAGGCTCAAATCGTCAGATTATTGAAATGTACAGTTTTCAGCATGTAATTATTCCACTATTTCTTAATCTGACGCGCTCGAGTAAATCCACCTATAATTATTATTACTATTCTGATCAGCTCTCCTATGCGCGCGGCTCTACATAGATGGCTTAGATTTGGCAGAGGTACTCAACAGGACGCAGAGTATCCCCCATATGTTAATCTGACGCACTCAAGTAAATCCCCGAATTCCCTCTTGGGCTCCGCTACTACAATACGAAATACAGTTTTTTGATTTGATTTGTAGAGCGAATCACTTTGATTTATAATTTTTCAACTAAGTAATACTTTTGTTATGCAACGCAAATAAGATATTCAAGTATCTTCCAACTTCCAGTTCTACGCTAATCTTTGGGATTTTCGGAAATAATTCCAGATTTTCGAGATTTCTTCGGGATTTTCGGAATCTTCGGGTTTTTTGGACTATTTCGGGATTTTCGAGACTACTTTGGGATTTTCGGGATCCTCGGAGCTAATTCGGAAGTTTCAAGACTTTTTCGGGATTATTTTCGGTGTATCATATTATGAATATGCACGCTCTCTTCTTTGTCATAAATGTTCGCACATGTATGTGTACGTATATGTATGTCGTGTAAAGAAATGCCTAACGCTTTGCTTCCATTTATGTAGGCCCACTTATATTTTTCAATCTTACAATAACCCACAAATTAGGACACTTAAAAATAAAAGGCCCTGCCAGGGGCATTGCTTAAGAGAAATTTTAGCAGTTGATAAATAACCCAGAACGGAAAACACCAAAAGATCACACAGAGTGATGTGCCGTGGTGAGAAACACTCTTTGCTTGAGAGATGAGTGTTTGTTTCAGTGGTAAACACCATACAAGACACTTGGTGACGACGGTTATTTTCGATCTCTGATAAATAGGCAAGCAAGCATCATTCATTTGCGAACCATTTTCTCCTAGAATTGAAATATATGATTGCTCTATTGTGCAGGGGTTTTTAGAAGGAGCGGCGTGTCATGCGGTCACGGTCATGCTACCAATTACTAAATAACTGCTAAATTTTAGTATAAATATTTGCCATTTTACAATTATTTAATTTGTATTACAAGTTCAAGGCTTTTTGTTATACATAATATTATTTTGTTGCTCGCAGTAATTTCCATAAAAAACAAATCTTAATTAATGAATTAATTTCTTTAGTGTTTATGTAAATAAAACAATTTTGACCCTACATTGAGTTATGAAATTGTCCTTCAGTTTTTCAATAAAATGAATGCAACTATTATTTTGGTTTTTCAGTAATTTCCAAAAAATGTTAACCGTACGTGCACACTACTATTTTAGTGCTCGCAGCATATGAATACACGATCATCAAGGTATATACATACATATGTATGTACAAACAAAAGCGGTTTTAACATGCGCTGGTAAAATCAGCCATCTGCATAACAATTCGCTAACTAGTTAGTGAAAGCAGCATTTACAAATTTCGGGTGGAGTGGAATCATATTGTACATCAAACTCCGTTGAGCTGTGGATCAAACTTGTTGGGGATGGTATGAGTATGATGAGGGCATCGTATTCATATATATAGCAACTTGTACACATAAGTCAATGTCGTTGAGTGGCTAAAACTATGTTCACATATCAATATTATCTCAATCCAAGCTCGTTTTTTAATCACCCCGTTTACACAGGCAAATCTCAGATTATTAGCCGTCAAATTTGATGTGCTTGTTATTCTCACATCTCAAGGAAAAGTTATGTTTCTTCTCTGTGCAACCGTGATCAAGTTTTTCCGCTATATTAAGCAATATAAATATATTTTAACTAAACATTTTATTAAAAAATACTTTTGAAACCCTCCTTTCCTTGCTAGCGTCCATTTTTGTTTACTTTTACATTTGCCATTTCTCCTCTTCTTCGCAAAAACAATCGATAAAACTAGGATGGACACCGAAAAGTTATCGGTTAAATCTTAAATTTCAAAATGGGGGAGTACAGAAATCCAATATACAGACTTATTTCCGACGAAATATCTTAAATGTCTCATCAAGGACCGCAATAGTTCTGGTGGTTGATTTAACGGTAGTCATTTGAGATTGACCCCTGAACAACTCAATCCTGGTGTTTCCGAATGAAGCTTTAACGCAGAGTAATATTGGTTAATCACAACCATTGGGTCAGTCGAACACATGGGTGTTCGACATACTCAGTGGTGCAGCCGGTCGACGTAATCGACGTAATCGACATTTACGAAACTTTTTCTCACTTAACGTTCCTGACGCCTTTTTTGCAAGAGTATTGCCTTTACAAGTGCCAATACATATCCCGAGTATGAGCCAAATCGCAATGCATATTTTGAATATTAGCCAAATCGGATTTTAAATATAATTTTTAGTGATAACTCGACTCCAGCTCCAGCTGGGGGGTTAAATTGTGAGATGAAACTATGCAGAGACCCCCTTAAAAACACGCTACGCCCCCTTTTGAAATAGTCCCACTTTTCTCCATGAGTATGCGATTGCGTCCATATATCTTCATAGCATGTTCGAGTACTCTACTGTGAACACTTCCAGAGATATACAATATGAAAAATTCAGTTTGTATGGGAGGTGTCACAGCCCCTTTTGTTCCTTGCATTCACTTCATATTTACCCATTATAAATTTTATATGTTTATAGAGACGGCAGGTACGGAAGGGCGCTCCGTCGTGGTTGAGCTTTTAGTCAAAAAGAGTAAAATGTTTGTTTTTGCCCTTTAACCCGTTTTTTTGTGTTTTGGGGAGGTTGGCTGGTTTTCACCACCGCCAGGTTATTCCTCTGCTTTTAACATATCTCTTTGTATGTTTTATTCCATTGACGTATCCAATCGTCGCTCCACTGATACACGATGGTAATACCACTGAGGGCCAGAACCACGTGCAAAAGTTTCTGCTAATATATGTATGGCACGTCTTATTCCTTTCAATTCTTTGTCAATTATATGAAATTAAAAAGTGTATTGTGATTAAATGGTCCACAAGTAACCGGTTATTCCTCGAATTGTTGCTTAGATGTCCGAATTTATTATTCAGATTAAAATTTAAATGGATGGGAACTAAGTACTCATTTTGCCAGGTTATTCCTCCAATGGTAAATTATTGTGTTTTAATGGCAGGGAACTATGTCGTCATATCGCCAGGTTATTCCTCCAATTTGGTAATTTTATAATTATTCGTCAAATTATAATTTTAGGTTGAGACAAAAAAATTTTCCGTTATGTTATGTGGAACAGTTACTTTTTTATTTCACATTTACTTTGTTCGTTAGATAGTACCGTATCAACGGTACGCTTAAATATTTTCATTTAATTTTAATATCAACTCTCTTTATGTCTGCATCTATTACGTTACTTATGTAATTATTATATTATATGTAGCATTATCTTCTCTAGTTTTAAAACTTGTAATTTTATATTTAATGAACCGACTTAATTTTTATGTGTAAATTATGTGAGTAATTAAAAATGAATTAGATGATTGTGTCATATAGTAACTGAAGGGAAGGAGAGACAAAAAATCTGCATTTTCTTTACAGCACTATACCAATTGGTAAAAAATTCACACTATTACCAGTATTTTAAAAATTAAGCGGTTTTAACTTAAACTTGTCCCATAAAATTTGTATGAATTTCGAAATTACATTGATAGATAAGAGGATGCAGTGATAGTATTATCGCAGCTTACAAAAATGTAGCCTACGATATATGTAGGTATGTAGCCCCGTTAAATTTTATTTGTATGGTGAAAAACTTACCTTTGTTTTTTGCGATCTTCATCTGATTCTGAAAGTTCCAAATCATTTTCCAATCTAAGAAATTTCAATCATCCTATTATTTTCAAATTTAAAATTATTACACCTCATACACTTACGTGGAACTTTGCTTCTCCAATGTTGGCCCCACTTTGTTAGCCAATAATAATGGTTTCAAAGGCTCCTTTGACATTGACAAAACTGGCTTGACATTTGACGTTCCTGGCGATGCATTCAGTATATTCTGCGTTGGTACGGCCGTTGTAAGAGCCGCTGTTGTCGTAGTAGTCATAGTAGACGAAGTTGCTAATGAACTGCTACTACCAGTGGTTGTTATCGCATCAGCGTTTGGCATAGCTTGTGGATTTGGCGTTGCCGGTAGAGCTGAGATTGGTGTTATTGGTGGTGGGACCGCGCTCTGCAATAATTCCGCCCCGGAAGGTGGTGATCCCAAAATAGGTTGTATTGGCCCTATAGAATATTTATGCCGATTCGGACCATTGAGATTGTACTCGCCAATAGTGGTGCGAGGGGTGGCAGCAATTTTCGTTATTTGTTCAGGCGCCCGATACGTCTGGTCCACTTTGGAGATGATATCGTTGATTGATTTCTTGAAACATTTAATATTATACAATTAATAAAGTTTTATTATAATATGATAAGCAGCAATCTCACCGGTAATGGTTTGGAGAAGCGTCCATTGTGCAATGGTGCCGTCGATTTTGGCGGACCTAGGTATCCATTTGGAGGCGGTGGCAGCAGTGTTGTCGGTGCGTTCGAGCTACTATTGCTGCAATTGTTGGTTCCGCCACTGCTAACAGTGTTTAGTGTCGAAGTTGGTGGCGGTAGCAGCGGAGGTGGGCCTTTTGGTGGCGCCATTCCACTGCTTGAGCGCAAATCATTTTTCACCGGTTGACCAGGAAAACCCCCTCTTCCGTTATATGGTGGCTTGTTGTCAGCTGGCTTAAGATAAGGTGTTTGGCGCAGTTGCTGTTGTGCTTGCTGTTGATAGTGATGTGTTTGTTGTGATGACTGTTGAGGCTGCTGCGAGCCAGATGGACAAGTCAGCGGGCGCTGTGAAGAGGACGATGAGTTGACGAGCATGGGTGCGCTGTTGACACCACTGCCGCCAGTTGAAGAGGAGGAGGCACTTGTTTGTATATGACTGGTGAGCAGGGCATTGTTAGAGGAAGGTTGTACACCGACCGCGTCCGTATTCATAAACTCAATAGCTTTGGAATGGTCGCCTAATTTAGCGGTGATATCGTCATCAACCTCGGACGGATTGACCCGCCGTGGTTCTGGAAAGAGGGCATACTCGCGGCCGACGCTTTGCACTTGCTGGCGCTTATGTTTTTCACGTTCTCTCTGTTGGCGGCGCTCGAGATCTTCCATCCTGCGAGAAAAACCAAAACAATGAAGAATACAATTGATTTATTTTGACAATTATCGCAAACATATGTACATACATATGTATGTATTAGAATTGTATTTTAATAAATAAAAAGTTTGATAAAAAATAATCACGCGACATAGGAACACGCAAGAATAAATTGTAAACAAAATAACAAGACGTACAGAAAGAAAGATTTGCTGACATGCGTAGCGCAGAAACTTCACAAAATGACTGCGGGTCGTCTACATGTCTACGCTGCAACGAACGCGTATGTACATGCATACATATGCACATTAGGGTAGTCCAAAGAGAGTTAAGTCGGAATTGTAATGCTCTCAACCTTAGGATTGTCTATATCGAACAAATATACCCGTTTTCTTTTTATTCAGAAAATATTTAGAGGTCGCTCAAAGCGCCCAAAGTTTCCCATGTATTTTATATGAAAAAAATTGTAGAAATGATGTAGAATTTTCTAGAATTTCTGTATGTACACTGTACTGCAAAAAGTATTGGCACAGCTGCTTTTTTACAATACATGCAACAATTTTTATTTAATATTTTTCCGAAAATTTTAAATAAAAATATGGTTCACGCCACAACAAAAAACATAATAATATAATTTTTCAGGTTTTGCAAAACTCACGAAAATTCAGCAAATTTTGAACTTTTTATTCAGATTTTTTAGAATTTTTTCCAGTATGCAGATTTGTAGCCCAATAAATTTTATAAAGTAGAAGCTATAGGTAGCTACGAATTACCGTTGATTTTTGGCAATTTGTTTCACGCAGTTTCTTCCATACAAAAAAAAAAAATCGAAAATACTTTATATGGAAAAAATTAAAAACACCTGCAACAAAAAATTAAATTCCCAAGAATCGATGCGATTTTTGACTAACTCCGAACTCGCATTTTTTAATCAGATTTTTTAGAATTTTTGACCACCCTAATGTATATGCATACATATGTATGCACATATGATTGCGTTTTTGAAAATTTTTGAATTTTTAGCATAGAGGTTTTAAGCAAACCGCAATATACTTTTGAGATATGCTAATATGCTGTTAGATAGATAACTATAGTTATAAGGGCGTCACACGGTGTGTTTTTTGAACACTATGTATGCGAAATAATCGTAGCCACCCAGTAGCGAGATGGTCAAGGTGACATCGTCAGTAATGATGATTTAGTGACATCGTCGCACTTGCTGTGAATCCAAAATGACATATAGCTGACAATGACACTGGTGACAATGTCATTTAGGTGTACTCCTATACTTACATACATATAACGGACAATGCCTTGCAGTGGTCACTTATAAAAAGTCCAAGCCAATGATCCCTTAATGACAAAGTCATTAGAGACCATCAAATACCAAATAACCATTTCTATGAAAAAGACATGAACGACTTCCATGTAGGCGTTCAACCGTAATTTTTAGCCATTTGAAACTTGTACTTGATTCTACTAGAATTCAATGGGCTACAAAACTACATACTCAGAATCTAATTAAAAACTCGAAATTTTTACGAAAATTTGTGGATTATTTTTTTTTTAATTGCATAAATTTTTAAGGCAATGTCACTCGATTGGTACATTTGTACAGACTTGTGCATTTTTATATTGGGCTATTGGTACAAAATAAAAAAAATGGAAAACATTTTTTTGTTGTCACAAGATTGGTACAATACAGCAATGTTCTATTGAAAAGTTTCAACAAATTATTTTTCGTGATTGGGATAAAGAGAAATATTTGGG